TAATATAATATAATATAATATAATATAATATAATATAATATAATATGTATATCTATATTTATTTTATTTTAATTATACATGCATGCAGCATTTGAAGAACTGTCTTATTAAACACTGTCTTAGTAATAAACAATGCGTATAATGCAAATAACATGTATTATATTTATTTATATTTATCTAAATTAATATATATATATATACATTTATTTATTTATTTATTTATTTATTTATTTACAGCATTTGAAGAGCTGTCTTCGATTCATTTGCCGAAGTTGAAGGATCACTTCCAAGCAGAAAATGTTCTGCCTCCTGTTTATTTGCATCAGTGGTGAGATATTAATTAGTTTAATTTAATTAATTTAATTTAATTTAATTTAATTTAATTTAATTTATTGTTTATTGTTTATTGTTTATTTCTTGTTTCTTGTATTTACTTTCTATTTTTTTAGATTGGTTATTTATTTACGTTGCGTTGTTTAATTAACTAATTAATTAATTAAATTAATTTAACTAATTATTTTAATTAATTTATTTGTTTACTTATATTTAGGTTTCTCACGTTATTTACTACTTCTCTGCCCCTCCGTACAGTGTTGGTTGTCTTCGATTATTTGTTCGCAAATGGTTTGAAGTCGCTGCTGCAACTGGGTGTCGCCTTGCTGCATGTTTTATCTCGTTTTCTTCTTCTTTTAAAGTAAGTTATATATAATTACTTCAATTATAATCTATTCAAATGCATCAGAACACAAAAACCCTAAACCCTAATACCAACTCACTGCAGCAGCAGCAGCACCAGCACCAGCAGCAGCACCAGCAGCAGCAATAAATGCAGGGCTTGGAGTATTTGTGCTTGTTATTATTTATTTTGTTTTTTGTCTCTGTTTTAGCTGATGCGTTGTTATTGCATTGTGGATGTATAATATATATATAATATATTTTATATATATATGCGCAGTACAAAGTATATTATATATATTATATAGTAAAACAAAGAGATATATAATATATATCTTTATATTTCTGTGCATGATTGTTACTGAGTATTAAATGAATGAATGTATTTAATTCTTTTGTATATATCTTTTTAATATTTTGTTTGTTTTTTAGTTTAGAAGATATTATAAAGTTTTTAAAATCGTTAAAATGCAGCGATGGACTTCACGATTTCCGCATCGGGATAATGTTGGTGAAACAAGCAGCAAAAGTGCAGCTACCAAGTGCTATTATAAAGGTATTTCTTTTGTTTGTTTGTTTGTTTGTTTATTTAATTGCTTTATATGTTGTAATAGATAATATTATGTTATAGGCGAAGGGTTGGCGGTGATATTGATATATTATAGAGATATAATATTTTATTTTGATATTTCTTTGTTTGTTTATTTAATTGTTTTATTATTTATTATAGATATTATTATGTTGTAGGCGTAGTGATGGTAATGCTATTGATGCATTATTAATGTATTACTTGTCTTTCTTTGCTTGTTTAATTGTTTTATATATTATAATACGTTTTAGTATAAGTGTAGTGCTGTTGATGCTGCTATTGAAATATTATAAAGATATTTCTTTTCTTTTTCTTGCTCTCCTTGTTATTTTCTTGTATTACATACACCTGAAGTATAAATTGCATGGATTAGAGTCAAGGGTTTAGGGTTTAGGGTTTAGGGTTTAGGGTTTAGGGTTTGTTGTTATTAGGGTATTAGCAGTTATAATTTAGAAGAGATGATAAGGGAAGCAAAACAAGAAGATATGCAGGAAAGCCGAGAGGTGCGCCTAGCAGCAGCAGCAGCAGCAGAAAGCCCTCCTGCAGCAGCAGCAACAGCAGCAGCAAACCCTTTGGCGTTTCTGATGGGTATGAACAGCAACAAAGGAGAAGATGAAGCAGCAGCAGCAAACAGCAGCAAAGAAAAAGAAGATAATTTAAAAGAAATGATAATCATAAACAACAAATCGCCTGGTGTACATACACCAGAAGATAATAAGACAATTGCAAACCAGCAAGACGAAGCAGCAGCAGCAACAGGAACAGCAGCAACAGCAGCAGCAGAAGCAGCAACTGGAAAGCCTGCTGCTGCTGATACCTCCCCAGCAGCAGCAGCGGCAGCAGGAACAGCAGCAGCAGCAGCAGCAGAAGCAGAAGGTGCAGGAGATATGCTTTTGATTGAAAGCAAATTTGAAGAAGAAGACAAGAAGAAAGAAATTCTAAATAACTCGGACTCTGAAGAAGAGGGTTATGAGCTTGTTGAAATGTGCAGAGACACCGCAGCCGAACGCCAACAGACAGACAGCGAAAAAGATAAAGATAAAGATAAAGAAAGCAACAGACGGGTATTTCTTTTGCTTTGCTGTAATTAATGTGGTGTTGTTTATATAAAAGTTTTACTAACTTGTCTAATTATCTACATGTTTAATTATCTACAGAACAAATAAGAAAAATATGTACATATATATGTATATATGCATACGTGTATATATATATATATATATATAT